TACACAGTTTCGTGGCCGGTCGCGTTCTCCTTCTCTGCCGCGTTGGTATTGGGGACAAGGGTCGAGTGCGCATACGCTCCACAGGATTTCACGTATCTGGCGGGTCATAACAATTTGGCGACGTAGTTTTTCAACTACAATGACTGACGAGTATGCAGACTTGAAGCAGATGTTGCAGCAGCAGCTGAAGCTGATGGAGGCTCTGACCGTCAAGCTATCCAATTCATCCATGGGCCAATCAAGCGCGGCTGGTGGTTCACAATCTGTTGATCACATTGCCGGCAGCATCACTGAATTCCTGTATGACCCGCAGGCCCATATCACCTTTGAGTCCTGGTACAAACGTTACGAGGACTTGTTCTCTGTCGATCTGGCTGCCCAGGACGATGCATGGAAGATTCGACTCCTACTTCGCAAACTGGGTCCGGCTGAACACGAGCGTTATGCAAACTTCATCCTCCCCAAGAATCCCCGAGAGGTCGCTTTCAAGGACACGGTTGAGACGTTGTCGCAGATTTTTGGTGATCAATCATCCCTTTTCAACACTCGATTTCAGTGCCTGCAGCTGTGCAAACGCGATGCCGATGATTTTATCACGTATGCGGGCATTGTCAATCGTGAGTGTGGGCGTTTCCAACTCGGTTCTCTCACTGAAGACCAGTTTAAATGCCTTATATTTATCTGCGGCCTCCAGTCCCCCAAGGATGCTGATATCCGGACAAGTCTCCTGTCCAAAGTGCAGCAGAGCAACTCTATCACACTCCAAGAGCTGGCAGCAGAGTGCCAAACACTGATCAATCTCAAGCACGACTCTGCAATGATTCAGAACCCGGCCTCATCTTTCTCAGTCCATACGGTCACATCGACCAAATCGCATCCTGTTACACGGCCCAAGCAAGTGTCCAAGTCGAGATCTCCGCCATCTCCTTGTCGGCACTGTGGCGCGTGGCATTTCCACCGGGATTGCACTTTCCGCCAGCATCGCTGCCAAAGCTGTAATCAGGTGGGACACCGTGATGGGTTCTGCAAATCAGTACCAGCTTCTGTAGGCAAGCCAGCCCCCGCCACTCCTAATTCCAGGCATCGTTTCCGGCCAAAACGCAAGTCCAAACTCCAGTCCGTTGGTAATTCTCTGAGTCTCTTGGCCGCTTTCCAGCTCAATGCGTCTGGTCGTAGAAAATTTTTTGATGTCTTGCCCAATGGCCATGCAGTTCGTCTACAGTT